AACATGCTGGAGAAGAGTCGGAGGATATGGTGATGGATGAAAAGGGAGAGAAGGCCGTGGAAGAGTGGTTAGTAGAGAGATTATCACCATAGAATCGATCTCATGATCATGTGCAGGTAGCAATACAAAGACATGTACAGTACATACATGCGGCCATAGTTCGAATGTTGGTTGATAAAGAGTTGACCTATTTTGGGGTAGCACAGCGCTAAAGCAGCGACGGAGCATTGAGAAAAGCTTGTCTGGTGGGGTAGCATGCGATTGGTTCCCTTGATATCGAGCGAGACGATTTTTGTCGTTCGAGTCTAGAACGAGCGGCTGAAGCACTTTATCAGCCAAGTTTGAGAAGCTGACTCGAGGAGATGTACATACAAGGAAGTACTTGATTAACAAGGAAACACAGTCAATCAATCACGACAGACAGTATACGCCAACTTCAAAGGCACTGAACCTGTCACTGATAGTGATTGACTAACTAAATGACAAGTGGACCAGCGGCTAATCAATGCACGCTGTCGTCAGGGCGGTCTCGTCTTCAATATTAGCGTCCCAGGGTCACAAGGCCTGACATGACATGTCTCCCTCCCGTCTTCTGCCAACTGGACCCTTGACATTTTCCCTACAGTGTCAGTTTCACCTCTAATAAAATTCCACAAGAGAAATCACAGAATCAACAAGAATGCGAGATTATAAGGATTACACGTGTCCATGTCCCGACTCTCTCCTCCTTCCCCTGGATAGTTCACTCCTCCAAGTACCAGGGGTAATCTGCCGATAACCAAGATCAAGTTGTTATTAACTATTATTGCCTACCCCGTAAATAGGCGCTAAATTACCCGGTGGATCCTGTCACCACTCCTGGAAATGCTTGTTTTTCAGTGGCTGCCTCAGATTCCAGTTCCAGTTCCAGTTGGAATCCTTGGATGCGCAAGGATGCTTCAGTTGAGATTAGGTTGGATTGCATCCAATGTCACCCACTACCGTAACCGCTGCCTCTGCTCTGCCTCTGTGTCTGTGCCTGTACAGTCATGTACTGTACATACATGACTTACGAACTGGCCATGGCTGAGCAGTTTCATCTCCCGTCTGCCCGCCTCTATTCTTATCCTTATCCTTAACCTTCCTTCACCTTCTAGATACCAACCAACCTACGGAGTACCTGTCTACCCTTTGTCTTGATAAGACATATATCACTTTCCCAAGCCTCATCTGGTGCGTTTTCTCTCGATTCCTGCTTCGCGTGGACTTTATCGTCTTTGTCTGTCTCAGTCAACCTCAGACGTACAAATCCAATAGCTTCACCAGCTCAAGCAAGCATAAGCGATAGAATCAAGCTGACCATCACTTATCGTCAGAAGTCCTATATCAAACACCATGCCTGGAATTCGTACGTGAAAACCCGACAGCGTTCTCAGAACACACTCTAACAAGCTCCTCAACAGCTCTGCACGCCCTTGACAACCTCAAGGCCAAGCTCAAGGCTGCCTTCAAGAAGAAGGATAACAAGGAGGAAGCCAAACCTGCTGACCCCAAGCCCACCGAGACGAAGCCTGCCGATACCACAGCTGCCACCGAGCCTACCAAGACCGAGGCTGCTCCTCCTGCTCCCGCCAGTACGTTTCTGCCTATGCGATCTGTTGAATACCATGTTACTGACTGTCGTGTGCCACAGCCGAGCCAGCTCCTGCAGCTGAACCCGCAGCCCCTGCTGCTGAACCAGCTAAGGAGGAGGCCAAACCCGCAACTGAGGTCAAGCCTGAGGCTCCCGCTGCTGCTGCTGAGCCAGCCAAGACCGAGGAGCCAGTTGCTGGTATGTCGCAATGTGCCCGATAGCTATGACCAAGAACTAGAACTAATGATTGAAAGCTCCCGCGACTGAGCCCGCCAAGCCCGACGCTGCCCCGGCCACCGAAACTCCCGCTCCCGCTCCCGAGCCTGCCAAGACCGAGCCCGCTCCGGCTGCTGCTCCGGTTGCCGCAACTGCTCCTGTCGTCGAGACTCCAGCTCCCGCCCCCGCTGCTGCTGAGACTACACCTGCTGCTCCCGCTGAGGCTCCTAAGGAGGAAGAGAAGAAGGATACTCCTCCTGCTCCCGCTCCTGCCCCTGTGGCCTCTGCTTAAGTGCGATCGAACGGCTTACCTTGTCTCAAGGTAAGATCTGGATGAGAACATGTTGATCAGTCAGAGTACCAAGAATGTGCGTTCGTAATTGTCTTAGAGGCATGAGTCTTTCAGTTACTTGACAGGCTCGCTATCGATGTCTGTTCGCTTTTCTCCTAGCAGTTGGCTGGATACCCAGAGAGAAAAGTGTCGCGATGTTTTGTTTCAAATATATACCCGCTTTCTATATCTAGATACTTCCCTCGTTCCAGTTCCACATTGTGCTTTTTAGAATTAGATTGCAAATTTAAGGGATTATCATGAGGCATGAGATATTTCGCAGTCTAAACTCATAATCGTATATAATAGATGGTTAGAATATCGTGGAATTCTATGGGACGAATGCGTAAATGAATATCTATGTCCGGTCCTTGACTCCCTAATGTGCCAAAATTCCCCAATGCTGGTATGTACTCCGTATCCTCTATGAATCTCTAGCCCATGGTGCTTTGGTAACAGTGATTTGTGCGCTTGTGGATTCACTTGTAGGTGCAGCGCCTCGAGGTGGCCTAGCAAGTGACCCTGAACTCGGCCCAGGTGGTGGCATTCGAGTATACGGAATGCCGGCTGACGGTGGAACTGGCATTCTGGCAGCTTGAGCCCATGGCGCAGTTGTTCCGGGTCCTGAAGGTACTGGAGCTGCTGTGGTTGGCTGGTTCGCCATATGGACGCTTTGTGTTGGAGTTGCAGCGTCTGGATCAGCATCCCAAGAGAAGAGCGAACCGAATGGGAAGTGCTGGACAACTGGGAACTTGGACAACACTTCGGCGTTGAACATCTTGATCATTCCCTTGTTGATCTTGCCCCAGCCATCTCGGATACCAGAGATATCAAAGAGAATGGGACTGTGTTCCCAAAATGGGCCCTTCTTAACGTCGTTGATGAAGCCAATGGCGGAAAAGTACATATTGACCTGTCGCTGGTCCTCCACAACAGCCGCTTTGGTAACATCACTAGGCTTCGGCGCACCTTTGACAGATCCCTCCAAAGGCATTGGTTCGTCATCGTTTATAGGTCGTGTGAGTTGCGCAGAGCCGAATACGTAGGGCATGAAGGAATGGTCGTCGAGGCCCCAGACGCCGTGGGAACCAGCGGGTTCGAGAGTGTAGGTTAGGATGAGTTTCCTCACCACGTTGAGATATCTAGGGATGTTAGCAAGATCCGTCAGTGTACTTGAAGGCAACATACGGTTCGATAACCTTGAGGACAATCTCGCGCTCGATCTCGCCTCCTTGTTGTTCATCTCTGAAGTATCCCAGTTTCCATAGGCAACCAAGGAATGCTACAAAACTGAGCTCATGCCCAGTTCCATAGTCTAGTCTTTGAACGCTGCCGAAACCACCAAGTAGGTAGCTAGAGACTTCTTCTTTCGCCTTTCCATCGCCAATCTTGAGTGTTTCGCCTAGGAGTCCTTCTCCCAACAGCTCGTCCAAATGCTCCTCAAAGATAGCATACCACTTTCGGAAGCTAACATTTCCAAATCGTCGAGGACCGGGGTCGGGTGGTGCTTGGTCGATGAAGCTTTCAACCTTTGCCAAAAGGTTCTGTAGAGCTTGGACGGACGGCGATGTCGGCGGTTTCGAATTGAGGGGAAAGGTGCGGGGGAGGGGTGACGATGTCTGGTTTCGAGGACATAAGGCGTGGTTAAGCTGCAGGATGAAGGTTCCGATATCGCGGTAAGCGAGGCTGGTGAGGAAGCGTGCGACGTCGGGGCCTTCGTTGATGCGCTTCGAGGGCTTGGTGAATGCTGGCGGGGAGCTGAGGTCCACGATCTCAAGAGTCTGGTGTTTTGGAGGGGTTGCGGACGTCATGTTGACGACGGCTCGAATCCTTGGGTACAGCGTTGAGAATTCCCTGACTGTAAAACAAAAAACAAAGTGTTGTTTGGGAGGATCGGGTAAGTTTTACGGTACAGGAATGATAAGTGGGCGTCGGTGCTTGGTTGAAGCTGAGTTGGCTCTGTTGGATGGTTGGAGATAATTTAGTAATATATTTTCATGCTTGACAACCATGAAACTCCAATCAAATATGCCTACCTACCTAGGTATCTAACACGAAGAAACACGAGCTCGCCTAAGGGAGTTATCACCCTAATAGTCCCTATGAGTTCCAGTCTCAGCTCCCAAATATGCCTGATCTTGTTTCATTGGCTTCGCATGGCCTCATGGAATTCTTGATGAGATATGCATGCGCGGATCATGATAATGTTTGCGACACAACCACTTGACAGAAAGAAAAGTAGTTTCATGATCTCAGGTCATCAGGCTACATAGTATCTATTTAGTGCTTCAAGAATCAAGGTCGCATAAAATATATGTTCTTACCAACTCCCGACAATTATGTCATTTATCATGTCACATGGGAGCTCTCAGTCCCAGCTTTAGCTACCTTACCTTACCTACCTATGGGGATGGAATAAAACTTTAGACCTCTATCCTAGGTGATAAAAAGCCTTAGGTAAACTTATGTAAATTTAGCATAGTTTAAGACAGACTCAGAGGATCTTAGACTAAGTATTTCTAGCACCTCAATTTCACGTCAGAATGGAGGTCTTCTTACACCCAGGGGGCTATCTAAGCTCCCGTTCTTAAGCTTCACTTGCCCCACTTCATCTTCCCGACCTTCAATGCGCCTACTTTGAGCGCCGTTGTTCACCAGTTCAACTCAATCTTGAAGCACTCAGCTTGCCTCAAACTTACCTCTACAGCTGAGGAGCTGAAAATAGAAGCTCTCATTGAATTGCAGACGTATCCGAACCGCGATCTACATCGATATCCGTGGACGCGCTGCCTTGGCGCGTTCGGTACTCTCGATAACACAACACAATAACAAGACCTCAAGATGGTGGTACAGCTGCGGTCTAGGGCTAAGGTCGATGGATCGTCAGCTGAGCCTGAAGCGACAGGAAATCCACGAAAACGTACTAGAAGAAAGCAGTCAGAGAGAGCTTCCGCGCTTAGGCCAAACATTGAGGTACGGATCAATGCATCAGGGTCGAACTCAAGTCGACAATCAACCATTCATGCAATCCCTCAAGATCAGCCCTCTACCAACCGAAGCCGGGTCACGAGATCGACAAGAGCCAATATTCCCCATGAAAGAATACCCTCACCCACTCCGAGAAAACGTCTCGCTACGGACGCAGGTTTCAAGCCCCAGCGTCGTTCTCGTCGCAAAGTTACGCTGGAAAGTGCTGAAGGGGATGAACAACCTCAACTGTCCCAGGAGCACGAAGAGGCCTCGGAAGCGGAGGAAAATGCCTTACCGGAGCACCAGGACTTGATGAATATTATCAATTCCAACATCCTAGGTATCAATAGTTCTAGCAACGAGCTACCCCCGGAGAGAGCTGGTAGGAGGATGCCTGGGGCAGAAGCTCCTGAGACTGTAGTCTCGGACGAAAATGTCGCCTTGGATGACATACAACAGGAGCAGGAACCAGACACAGCTGAAAATTACCAAGCTTCAGCTCCAAGTCCTGAGCAACTAGAAGCACCGCATGAAGAAAATCCGGTATATGAGCAGGAGGCCCCTCAAGCGACGTTACCACGAAGTCGAAAACGAAGACGGCAGAGCCAGAAGCCGACTTATGGCACACCTGGTTATAATGCAAGGGGCGCGTCCCCAGAGCTTGGTTCAGCACCTCCTCAGACGCCAGCCGTGGAGGCATCAGCGTCACAACAGGTCCACGCTGGGGTTCATGACTATGACGTTCCGTCCGACGGAGAGCAACAAAGTCAGCCAATATTGTCAAGAGGGGAGAAGGAGACCCACGTCACGCAGGCTGAACCTAGCCGGAAAACTAAAGGGGGCAAACGAAAGAGAAGCCAACATGAGCAACAAAATGGCCAAACACCAACACAGGTCGAGGAAGAGCCAGAAGAAGAGAGGAATGAAGAGGGTACGCGAAAGGAAGATAAGAATGGAGATCAAGATAGGGAATATGAGAATGAAGATGTAGACTCCGACAATGATGAGACGGCGGCAGAACATGAGCTTGATCTATCGAATCTGGATGAAGATTCGTTGCTGCTCGACAAACCACCGAGTGGTTTGCAAACAGCGCTCCTGACCCCTACCGCCTGGGTAAAGCGGGATACAGTGCAGGATCTCGTTTGGACCACAACCCTCAGAGGGTGGATGAATGGAAGAAAGTGGCAGCAGGATGCTCTCGAGCTCGCAAAAATAGCTTCTGAAGCATTGGAAGAAGACGGACGTGTGCGATCGAGGCTTATCTTGGGTAAGCTTTACAGACTCTACAAACTATGCAACGAGATCCCGTCATCATCGATCTCACAGCAGCTGGAATACATTCGCGAGAACGCAGTCCAGTTCAGCAGTTTATACACCACACTTCGCGTGATTATTGACGAGTTCATTTCGTCCATCAACACGATAATGGAGCAGGGCGACGCGAAGCAAGTGGGCATAGGCTATCAATATGTCACAAAGTTGCACAGACGCATCATTCCTATGCTGGTTTTGGTATTAGATAAATCTTTCCAGGCTGGATGTGGAAGACCTAGTGATAGTACCAAAAAGCTCCGCTTTCAAAAAGGAGAATTTACAGTGTACACACTAGAGCTACTGGAAAGGACTGCAGGCTGGGTCCAGAGACTCTCCCAGGTCGTGGAAAACTGGTACGAGCTTCATCCTCCCAGAAGAGAACGTGATCAGAGCGAGGAGTCTAAGGAGCATCGAAGAAAGTTCAAGGATATCACAAAGCGGCTCAAGATATCGCTCGAGAAGGCCAGAGAAAGGATCGATGCCATTAAGAGAGCGCCGATCCAACGAAAGAAATTAATGCAAAAGGATGAAGCTATTCGAATGGAACGCGAGGCGGATGCGCAGCGGCGCAGAAACATTCAAGATTTGCAGATGCAGCGCTTTCTACAGTCGATGCAGGAGGTTGAATCATCTCAAGCTCGTCCGTCCACGATAGGCTCACACCGTCGGGCAGTGCGCAGCTATCGCTCCCTGACTAGTCAGTCAGGCTTGATTAGATCGCAAGAGCCGTCGGATGATGAATATTATGAGAAGCATGGCTGGCACTACTGGGAAGATGATCATCTCTTAACCTTGATCCGAACCACATCCCATCCGAACTACGGGGTCCTCCACCGGATGCTTCCTAATCGAGATCCTGATGAGCTGAAAGAACGGTTAAATCATTTGAGAATGGTTATGCGCGAAAAGTACGAGCGAAAGGGTATGCAGCCGCCTGGATGGTGTGTTGCTGAAGATTGAGATCGAGGTTAGGGACTGTTGGAGTTGGGAGCATTTGCTTTTAAGATACCCTGAACAATGCCAGATACGCCTCTTGAGATTCAAGCGAACTGCATATGATTAATGAAAGAACGTTTACATGTATGCGTTTTTATGGCAAAAAGTGTTATTACCCAACGTAGGCAGTACAAAACTCGCATCAATGGCGATCGCATCAGTCATGATGAACTCATCAAGGCTCTCTTTGATGACAGCAGGATCCAAAAGAAGCTGGTATTAATTGTCAGCAGTTGAGTTGGTGTGCGGATATCGTTTCATGTCCTTGAAGGACGCCTGAGGTTCTGCCAACGACGTTATGCCACATCATTGACTCCCAAGGTAGCATTATCTGTCTATCACATTGACACATTCGGCGCATCAAGAACAAAGCATCCGTGGTTCCGCCAGCACATGCAAACTTGGGCGCCCTGCAATGGCGTGGTGATTTAGAAGACACTTGGCCTGTATCAGCCGGGCCAAGTTGCATTGATCTTTTGGATTCTTGTATGATTGACCACAGACTTTGGAATTGGTTGAAGCGCCTTTAACGCCACATGTGATGGTAAAGGGACCACGCTATTGCCCAGGTAAGAAAAGCGGCGAATCAGGTCTAGGTCATTTGGGGTAATAAGTCAACAGATCATGATTTATTTTGGCCATCTTCACGCGTTTTCCACGCGCCGTGGGAGATTTGAAAGATTCAGCCACGAGCATAGATTTCGCCCTTTGATCCTTTGTCTCTGGGCTCTCAATTGACCTGAACCAAGAGAGTGTGAGGTTTGGGATATAGTAGCTCATAGATCTTCAGGCTTCTGAAAGCTACCCAGGTAGTGGCTTGCATTAATTGCCGTGCATTGCATATAGTGCCTTACTTAGGTCGATACAGCGGGTCGTCGCATGCAGAACCAGATGTTGCCCAATGCATAGGGCTTCTTTGGGGTATCTCAGTGGCCAGACTGATCTTTGCCTTAAGTCCAATGTTCCTGGTCCAAGACATTGAATGGCAGTCTAATGTCCGCCCAGTAGCGAAAACTATCAGTCATTGGATCTTGAGCTAGGAACCAAACCCAAATGGAAGCCACCCGCGCGTAGCCCAAAGACCCCTGATTCGAAGCGACAGTGGACGAGCAGCCCCCGCCCCCCCTGGAACGGTCGCTACAGTCCGACCGCTGGGGGCCATCAGGGCCCTGAGAGAAAAAGCAATGTTAGTGGCCGGTGAAACTCCACTTTGACCACTGGATCCCCGTGTGGTGTGGAAATGGGAAGAACAGCTCAGGATATGGATGGATCACAAGGTGATAGACCAAGAGGTACGTATCCATCCGCAATCTAATATCCCGTCCCATCGACAAGACAGCTCAGCTTTCTCTCTTCCCTTTACAATTTCATCTCCTCTCCATCTAGCAAGAAGCTTGCGAACATCGTCAGTGCAGGAGTCATTCTAGACTTCTCTAACTGCTTCATTGCTTGCTTGCTTGCTTCTTTCTTTCGTTCCTTAATTCTATCTGTCTTATACTCCACCGTTGTAAACGGTTTTCTAGCTGCCAGCGAAGCGCGGTTTTGCTGGATAAAAAGGAGTCCAACTCAAGGTGAGATTAACCAATTCCTAGCGGCTGGTACCTACATATCCTTGCCAAAAGAGCTCATGGCTCGTGCTGTTTTCTCCCCTGGCATCTCTTGTTTATCCTGGGATGACAGTCGAGCTTGGTTGTTGAACGACTGACCTCAAAAGTCCCGTGCGACATCCATATATAACCTATCGCGGGTACACTTCTTTTTACCTCCCCTTTGCTAATATTTGCTTTTCATATAGAACTTTATTTTTAATTACCTTTTCGATCCCGCAAATATGTCGGAGTCCGAGAGCTTTGACGTTGTTCAGCACGAGGAAGCTGTCGCTTCTCAGTCTGATGCTGCTGCCACTGAGCCAGAGAGCCCTCAGGCAACCGCTCCTGCGTCCCCCGAGACTCCTAAGGAGAAGGCAAAGGAGAATGGAGAGTCAAAGCCAGCTTTGAAGAAGCCTACCGCAACCTCCACGACGGGTACCCGTCGACCGGGCTCTACTTCCACCACGGCCAAGCCTGCTGCGACTAGCACTCGAGCGCCTGGCGGTCTGAGCAAGCCCCCAACCCGACCTCCTGCCTCCACTGTTCGGCGTCCTGCGACATCGACCTCCAGCGCGAGCCACCGAAGCCGACCTAGTATGAGCGCCAGCGAAGATGACAAGAAGTCGACCACCTCCACCGCTTCTTCTGCTCGCAGAACAAGCTCTATTGTGTCTAGCCCTGGCAAGACTGCTGAGAGGAGGACCGTTGGTACTGCAAGCTCGACAACTGCTACTCGACGACCTACGTCGACATCCACCACGGCCCCACGAACTTCTACTACCCGAACGGCAACTACCCCTAGCACTACCGCGACACGAACGGCCGCCACTCGATCAACGGCTGCAACACCCACCGCCAGCAAGCGTCTCTCTACTTCGGGCTCCTTGACTGCTGCTTCCCGAACTGCAACTCGACCTGCTGCTGCTTCTGCGGAGTCTGCCAAGGAGATCGAGGCCCTCAAGGCCAAGCTAGCGGAGGGTGAGAGCGAGATCGAAGCTCTTAAGGCTGAGGTGAAGAACTCAGAGGAGAAGATTGCGGAGCTCACTGAGAAGATTGGTAAGGAGGCGACTCCTGCCGAGGCCGACGTGAAGCCAAGTGAAGGCAACGACGAAGCAATTGCCATTCTCAAGTCTGAGCACGAGTCTGCAATTGCTGCTCTCGAGAGCCAGGTTTCTGAGGCGAATGAGAAACTGCATGCTGCTGAGAGCGATCTTGAGAAGCTTCGAGCTGACCTCAATGCTGCTGTTAGCGCCAAGGAATCAAGCGAGACTGAGCTCGACTCGTTGAAGAAGCAGCTCGAGGCTGCTCAGGCTGAGAATGAAGAGAAACTCAACTCGAGTCAGGAGGCACTCCAGAAAGCCATTGAGGAGAACGCCTCCAAGATCGAGGAGCTGAAGACTGCTCTTGAGGCTGAGAAGGCATCTGCCATCGAAGCTCTGGAAGCGAAGCACAAAGAAGATCTTGAGAAGGGCCAGACTGACGCTTCCTCTCACGAGACTGCTTTGGCTGAGCTCAAGGCTTCTCATGAGGCTGCTACCGCTGAGCTGCAAACGAAGATCGACGAATTAACTTCTTCGCAGTCAGCCCTCGAATCCGCCAACGACGACAAGCTCAAGTCTGAACAGGAGGAGCACAGCTCTAAGATCTCTATTCTCGAGGCCGATGCCGCGGATGCAAAGGCGAAGCTAGAGGCTGCAGAGACGGAGGCCGAGGCAGCCAAGTCTGAGATTGAGTCTCTCAATGGCGAGATTACAAAGCTTCAGTCCAGGTTGTCCGAGAAGGAAACTGAACTCGAGGCTGCTAAGCAAGATCTTGCTAAGGCTCAAGAGGAGGCTACATCCCTGAAAGCTGCTGCAGAGGAGGCTCAAAAGTCTCTTACTGAGAAAGAAGACGAAATTGCTAAGGTCAAGGAAATGCACGAGGAGCGCATGAAGAGCATTTCTCAGGATTACGAGACCGAAATCGAGTCTCTTCGGGGAGACGCCTTCTTCAAGCGCAAGTACGAGGAGCTTGAAACCCAGCACAACGAGCTCCAGACCTCCTCTTTAGAGGCTACTGAAGGCCACACCAAGGCTCTTGAAGCTGCCAAGGCTGAACATGCTGCTGCCGTTGCTGCTTTGGAAGAGAAGGAGGCCGAGCACCAGAAGAATCTCGACGCTCTCCGTGCCAGCCACGCTGAGGAGCTCGAATCTGCAAAGAACTCTGCCTCGGGTGACCACGATGCTCACATTGCCGAGCTCGATTCTCTTAAGGAGAGCCATGCCAAGCAGCTGGAGGTGATCAAGAACGAAGGCGCCTCTACCCATGCTGAGGAGCTTGAGTCGATCAAGGCTGCTCATGCCAGTGTTCTAGAGGCTCTAAAGAAAGAGCACGACGAGGAAAAAGAGAAGATTGTTGCCAACCACAAGAGCGAATTGGCCTCTGTCAAGGATGCAAGTGAAACTACTCATGCTACTGAGATCGCTAGGCTCATGACAGAGCTTGACAGTGCTAGAGAGTCTGGCGAGACTGCTCATGCTACTGAACTTGAGTCTCTAAAGGCCAAGCTTGAGGCTGAGAAGGATGCTAGCGATAAGGAGCATGCTGAGGCTTTGGCCAAGGCTCAAGAAGGCATCGAAGCTGCCAAGAATGCTGGCGATGAAGCCCATGCTGCTGAAATCGCCAAACTCAAGGCTGACCTTGAGGCTGCCAGAGATGCTGCCAAGAAGTCATTGGAGGCCGAGTTGGAGGCCTTGAGGGTAGAACTTGAGGAAACCAAGAAGGCCGGCGAAAGCAAGCACGCTGAAGAACTGGCCAGTCTCAAGGCTGAGCTTGAGACGGCCAAGGAGGAGGTCGAGAAAGCACGCGAGTCCAACTCACAAGCTATTGAGATGGCCCGATACGAGCTTCAGCAGAAACATGCCGATGAGGTTGAGAAGCTTCTCGAATTTAACAGCGAGGTTATTGAGCGCATGAAGCGGGAAGGCGGTGATGTCAAGAAGGAACTGGAGGAGATGACTCTGGCGCATACTAAGGCTATCGAGGATATGATGGCTGAGCACAGGAGCAACAACAGCCACTTGGAGGACAAGCTCGCTCATCAGGCTGCTTCCAACGCTGAACTTGAGGCTGCTTTGGAGGCTGCCCAAGAATCTCTTGCCAAGGCTCAGCAGGAAGTTGAGGACCTTTCTCAGCGTCTCGCTCAGGAGAAGACCGAGCGATTCACTGCTCTTGCTGAGCTCGAGGACGCCAAGAACACGAAGCCTGACACTTCCGAGGCAGATGCCCTTAAGCGAGAGCTTGCTACAACCAAGAAGTTCCACGAGGATGTCGTGCAAAGCCTTGATCTCGAAGTCAAGGGAACGCAAAACATGCTTGAGGAGCGAAGAAGCGAGC